AGGGCCTCTGCACTTGGCCCTCTGTGGCTCAGAAGTTAAGTAACTTGCTCCAGGACACACAGCAGAGCCCCAGCTCTCGTGGTTTCCAAGGCCCTGCTCTCTCCACAGTTGCCTCGGCCTTTCTCTCCCTGCTGATGACTCATAGGACAGGCCACAGCTCTTCCTTCTGCTTTCTGGGTGGAATGTTTTCATTCCCAAGATTGGGCGTGGGCAGAGCCAGGACCACAGGGACCGCACGGCTGTGTCAAGTCTCCCGGGCAGACAGCGTTTCCTTGCTAAGCACCCGCCCCACTCCAGAGCCAAGCCTCAGACAAGTGCGTCAGCTGTGTCTCCACTGGGAGGTCAGGCCTTCTGGGCCCCTTGGGAGGCCTTAAAACTGAATGCCAGGCCCGGGGCCGGCAGACAGCGACCCACACTCTTGCTTCTTGTTCTCCCCAACCTTTTTCTTCTGTGCCCCCAGGAAGGCAGGTCCCTGTCACCCAGGGAAAGGAATGTCCCACTGAGAAACAGATTACCCTGTAGCTACCCCCTGGGGCCCTAAAACCAGCCCTTCCCTTGCAGTGGTGCCCTTTTAGCAGGAAAAGGGCCAGGTCCTGCCATTTCAGCTGGCATCTCCAGGCCACCTCTGCCTCCTCCTCTTCCCTTTCACACGGGGTGGGGCCATGGGGAGCCTTTATTTCCTCCTCACTCACCAGGACCCCCGCTGAGCACTGGCATTCATCCCCTGCACCGGAGCCAGCCACAGCAGCTCCTTTCAAACCCCCAGAGAGACGCAAAGCCTGGATAAGGCTGTCCTTGGGCCCTTTGTTGGGGACTTGGTTCCCAGGCCTTTGATCTCCCAGGCTCCCTGGCCAGGCCCCACCGGAGCAACCACCATAATACGGCCATTGTGACCTCGGCACACCAAGCCCACGGTGGGCGTCCCTCTCCAGGCTGGCACCTGAAAGCCTTGAATGCCCGCTTGTCACGCGGAGAAGTTACAGTGTCCTGAAGCAGCAGGGCCCTCCCCCAGAGACACAATGGACGGAGGCCGGTGGGAGGCCAGGGCCTTTGTGTGGGAGAAGTCGAGCGTGCTGCTGAGGGTGTGCTCGGGAAACAGCCTGGAGACTTCAGGGACTTGAAAGGTGGGGCAAGCGCCAGCCTCTGGGGAGTCTGCCTTTTTAAAAAATGTCACCATCCTCTTCCTCTTCCCTTGCCAACTCCCACCATTGCAGAAAAGTGGCTGCTTTGGAGAGGGGGGCACATTCTGTCACTCCCATCATGGGCCTCTGATCTCTGCATACCCAGGCTGCGGCCTGGCTGGTGGGAAGGGAGCCCTCCAGAGAATCCTCACTCAGTCAAACGTGTGTGGGCACGTGGGTGCAGCGTGGAGCGTCAGGAATAAACTGCTTCTCTGGCTCTGGTCACCTACCCTGCAGGTGACCTGGAGACTGAAGGCACAACAGTACCTTGGAGGATGGAATGAGTTACACGTGAGAACCTGGTCAGTAATGCGGTGACTTCTGAGAGCATGGGTGCCTGTGACCACGCCTACCCATCCTCGGGCTCAGGTGAGCCGTGGCAAAGCCCTCCCATAGGTAAAGGGGATTTTCACCCCCAACCCAACTCCTTAGTTTTCACTTCAGCCAGTCATCTCCACGCTCTCCTCCCACAGGCAAAATAAACATTTTACTAAGGGGCAGACTGAGGCCCTGAGAGTCCTCTCTTTAGCTGGAAAGCAGTGTGCTCTGTCAGGATGGGCACTGCTGTGACCACTTTAACTCTTTGGTATCCAGAGACATGGGATGAAATGTCTGCCTTTGGATCCCTCATGGGCTAGGGAACACCTCCTGGGCTGTCCCTTAATAAAGTTACCTCCTAAAAGTTGGCAGTGCTCAGTGGGGGTGGGGGTGACACAGAACATGTGGGGAAGCTGATCAAGTATCCACACCTTGGGGTTTTGGGATCCTGGCTCCACGTGACCTTCATCGTCACTTGCTTCGCCTGTAAACCTGGGAACAGCAGTGTCTGCTCCGTGGCCCAGCATGCAGCCCAAGCAGCACCACGCCCAGGACATGGTCTGTGTTCAGTAGCTTCCCTTGCCATCAACTTCCTTCCCACTCTGAAGCCCTTTCAGTTCCTCTAATGCTCCTTCCTCTTGCTCACCTCCTGTCCTCCAAATCCTCCCAAGGTCCGCTCCTTGGCCTGGGGATAGTCATTCCTCTCCGTTTACTCAGCTAACTCATCCTCATCCTGCAGATCCCATCACAGACATCAACACTTCCTCCAGGTAGTCTTCCCTGATTCCTTAGGCAAGGTGAAGTCCCCCTGCCCTGGGCCCCATGGCCCCTGTACTTTCCCCCTCAGAACATGTGTACGCTGATGAGACACTGCCTTGTTTGTGACTTCTTCCCTGGGCTGTGTGCGCTGGAAGGCAGGAATGGGTTGGCTTCATTTACAGATATATCTATAGCACTCCCAAGGTACTAGGACAGGGTCTTAGTACACATTTGCTGAAATGATAATTAAAAATTAACCAAAAGAGGGTCACATCCCTCCCTTCCCCTACTGCGACCACTCTCCAGAGGCAGGGACTGTCTGAGGTACAAGAGTAAAACCTCGAGTCTTTAGCTTTATAATTTGACAAAGTGTGCATTATTCTTATTTTAGTTGGAAAGCTAAAGCTATCCCCTCTTAGAGTGAGTCCTCACTGAACAAACTTCCAAACTGACTCTTGTTCCTAGGATAAGACACCAGAATATGCCACCATCAAATACGCCTCTTAGGCATGAGGATGTATGACCTGAAGGCAGTTAAGAAGCAGATACAGGGCCGGGCGCGGTGGCTCAAGCCTGTAATCCCAGCACTTTGGGAGGCCGAGGCGGGTGGATCACGAGGTCAAGAGATCGAGACCATCCTGGTCAACACGGTGAAACCCCGTCTCTACTAAAAATACAAAAAATTAGCTGGGCATGGTGGCGCGTGCCTGTAATCCCAGCTACTCAGGAGGCTGAGGCAGGAGAATTGCCTGAACCCAGGAGACGGAGGTTGCGGTGAGCCGAGATCGCGCCATTGCACTCCAGCCTGGGTAACAAGAGCGAAACTCCCTCTCAAAAAAAAAAAAAGAAAAAAAAGAAGCAGATACAGGAAGCTCTCTGGTCTCCCTCTATTTGCTTAAAGGCAGGATATAGATATATAAAGACAAAAGGTATCCCATCCCACTTCTACCAGGGGGAGCAAAGCTTAACCACTGAAGACAACTTCAGACCCTTATCCACTGGCAGTGGCTCCAGAGGAACCTACGAGAACAAGCCTCACTAACCAGCCCTTATCTACCATCTGTTTCTCTTGCCACAAGCTGCCACCCCTGAAGACTCAAAGTTGTTTTTCTTTGCCTTGTCACTTCTCTAGAAATGTACTTTTTGTTGTTGAAGATGCTATACGAGCTGGAATTCAAAGCCACATATTTAAGAGCTACTGACTCCCCGGGTGTGTCCCATGTATGTATGAAACACACAATATTAATAAGCTTCTGTTGGTTTTTCTCCTGCTAATGTGTGGTTCCAACTAACAGCTTAGAAGGGTTTGAGGAAAAACCGCTTTTCTTCCTCTACACTGGCATTAGGCCCAAACAAGGGTGGCATTCCTGCCATGGCCCAGTTAACCTGCTGACGTCCTGTCAGCTCCCTGGATACCCACATGCCCCAAACTTGGTGAGCTGAGCCAGAAGGAAGGTGGACTCCAGGGAGATGGCAGCAACATGGCGCCTAGCTCAGAGTGGGGCTGTGGGAGGCTGTTTTCCTTCAGTGTCATTGAAACTGGCTCATTCTAGCTCCTGGGAGGAATGAGTGGGGAAGGGAGGGAGGAGGGAGGGGGGAGAAGAACCCCAGCAGGCTGGGGCCAGCACCCTCCAATCTGTGGTGGCTGTGGTTAAGCTGGTGCCTCCAGAGAAACACGAGCAGGGTGGTGAAAACTGCCAGCCGGCACTGGCTCTTGCAGTGGTAGAGAGGCCCAGGAAGGGGCAGGAACCTCACGGGAGGACGCTCCTTTCTTTGAAGCTCAACTACTACAACTCCATTAAAGCGAGAAGAGGGGGCATCAGGTTCCCAATCTGAGTAATCCATTTCCGCCTCTGCATCTGTCTGTGCGTGCAGGCTCCCCTGGTCCTGAAGTACCATGGCTGCCATCACCTGACATTTTCTGAGTGCCTACTATATGCCAGGCACCATTCCTGGGGTCAGAACAATGAACAAAAAGTTTACGCATTTTGAGGGTTTACATTTCAGATAGTAAACGGGTTTTTTAAAAATTAGAAGCCTTATCATGCTATTTCTACAATGACTGATCTGAGGGCGATTTTATATTATAGAAATATTTGTACCAAACCCATCTAGACTGCGGTGTCGTTGAGAGAAGGAACAGATCTGATTCATCTCTAGATTTTCCAAGATGCCTGGTACAGAGCCTGACACTCACTGATGCTAGGTTTACAGCCACCAAAAGAAGGCCCCAACAGGATTTCTCTCCAAATCCAGAGGCCCCTTCCCTTGCCATGTGGTGGTAACCTCCAGAAATGGAGTGGGAGACAGCAGCTCGATACCATCTGGTCATGCATACAACAAGTTGGTTTGACATTTCCAGTTGGTTTCAAAGGGAAATCCATCACAGGAGGTTTCTCTACTCAACCAGAGAGAGGGTGTAACCAGGCACAGTTTCTGGTATCAGATACAGAAAGATTAATGTCCTAGGCACACAAAAATGATCAAAACCACTGATCAAAGATGTGGATCAGACAAGCACCACCACAGAGGCATAGTACTGGTCCTTGGGGAGGAATCTTCAAGGGGCAAAGAAGGCTACTGTAACCTCCAGAGGCCAGAAACGTGAGTGCTTAACATGCACGGGGTTTGCACTGACCCACACAGGAAGCAAAGGGCTGGGCACGTAATCAGTGCTCAGTTATACACAGCTGGTATCATGATCACCGAGGCTCTTGACAACTTGAGAGCTGCACTTCTTACCCAGCGTGTACGTAGAGCCTGAGAAGCTACGGTCATCGCTGATGCCAAGGAAAGGAGAAACCACTTGCTTCACCAGCTCCTCCAGTTGCAAATAACTCTCACTTGGGCCTGTGGGCTCGTGAACACTCTGGAAAATGAACAGCCAAGATACGCAAAGGTCAGCGTCTGTTGCCATGCCCAGCAGGTGCTCACTTAACAAATCCTGATTGTCCTCCTTCAATGTACAAGGCAGTGTTGCTGGCAGGCAGCATCCTTGCAGTTAGAATGAAGGAAACTGAGGCCTGAAGCCTTAGTCACTTGTCATGGGTCACTGCAATTAGAACTGTGCGTGGTTAGTACCGCAGCAGCCTCTCCCATTGGGCCACCAATGCGATGTGGATGTCCCACCTCCAGGGCTGAGATCTGGCTGGTCTCAAGGACAATAATCCTACCCACACTGTCGTAGTGACTGGTTCATAAACAGCACACAGACACTTAACATATATTAAGGCACGGAGGTCTCCTGACAATGCAAAGAGGAAGGTGCTCTTATTAGCCCCCTATTCTGGATGAGGAACTAAAGACCCAGAGAGCTAAAGTACCATGCCCAGGAAAACACAGCCAACAGATGGCAAAAACCCTGGACTGGAACCCAGGCTATCTGGCTCTGATCCTCTTTTACTGCCACTTGCTATCAGGCTAGAAAAGAAGGGAGGAAAGTGTATGGAAAAGTGCAGAGTGATTAGAGAAAGGGAGGATTCTTCTAGGGCCAGGAATAGTTGTAGCACCAAGATAAAGGGTCAATTAAAAATCTCGACGTGACAGGAGTTCTCAAAGCTAAGTGCTGAGTAAAGAACGGTCAAAACCAGAAAGGACTCAGTAACCAATGTTTTCTAGAAAACCAGCAGACTCCTAGGGAGTTCAGCTTCTTGCTGGAAAGGACTCAAACGTGCTGTCATATTGAGAAGCTGCAAAGAAGCAGAGACCACCGGAAAGGAACAAGGCTCCGTGGGGCTGTGCCCAGCCTGAGGGGTTAACATGTCAAATTCTCAAAATGGGGTTGACTCTAAATCACTTTCACTTTCAAAGTAGACTCCACTCCAGCGCGGCGTTTCAGGGATTGAGGGGGAAGCTGGTCAGGTAATGAGACAGGCAGGGCTGACTCCTGCAGGTTGGCGATCCTAGGGGGATGTAAGCTGCCAAGGAAACAGACTATTCCTTGGCCCCTTTTTGGTACTGTCACATTGAGATGGGTGTGGCCAGGGGCTGGGGGAAGAGAGGACACAGCTTCGGGAAACACAAGGAGGCTGAAGAGTGGGCTGGATGGTGCAGATTTGGAGGTAGAAACAGGGCCAGAAGAGATGCAGAGAAAATGAGTGGATTCTCCCCCAAAACCTTCCATAAACAGGGAGAGACCACAGAAAAGGAAAAGTGGCAAAATGTGGGAGGAACATGGATAAGAAACACGTGATTTGGAGCTGGATGGCTTTCTCCCAGAAAAGTCGCTGCTGAGAACTTGGCTTGTGCACAGCCCTCCAGGATGGTGCTGTCCTTGGCCCTTGGCTTGGCTGCCAAACAGCTACGGAATTGGTGTGGTCCAGAGTAAAAAATGCAGGAACTCACGTTCAGAAATCAAGAATGTCAAATGGTGATGGGAGGAAATTAAATCAAGCTCAGGGTCCTCTGAGCATAGGCTGAATACCCTGCCTGGCTGGGGCCTCTGAGAATGCACCGCTCTTAGGCTGGTCTCAGGACCTGACTGCATCAGCTGGGAGCAAACAGATCGTCACACTGGTCAATGTCTCTGATTCTGCCTCTCACTGGGGCAGTTTGAAGGCAGAGCACATGGCCCAGTGTAGGAGTATTTGTACATTTTGGGAAAGGTGGAGTTGGGTCAGGGACGTTTTGGAAGAGCAACAGAAAAGACAGAGATGAAGGCCTAAGAAAGCGCTCTTTTCTCTGTACTAGGGTCAAGTAGTTTTGAAAAAATATCAGCCCCAGGTCTCATGGCACTGTGAAAGGTGCAGGTCTAGGGAGAGAATGGACAATTCTAAGTACCAAGGCCCACATTTCCTGTAGCCGGTGTGGCCCCAGGGTAGTGCCACCCAGAAGTTCCATTCAGATCCAGAGCCCACCACCCCTACTGCTCAAGAAGATGAACTTGGGCCAGGGAAAGATCCGTGCTCTTCACAGTCACACCCACAGCTGTAGGCTCTAGAGCTCCTGGTGAGGAAGAATATGGGCAAAAGGCACCATTCCTAGGAAGTCCTCAGGGGAAGTGATGCCAGATGCCCTACAGGAAAATGGGACGATCTTTAATGGTCCGTAGGGTGCCTGTAGTGCGCTTCCGAGTACGCTGGGAGACTGCAGAAAGGAGGCAGTAGCTGCCTAGAAAGGCTAAGTGGAGGTAGGGAAGACAAAGGCTGAGGGCTGGGGAACAATCCAGCTCTCTTATAAATGAGTACATGACCTTGAGCTCAGTTGCCACCTTCTCTGAACCTGCATCTCAGCTGTGAGATGCGGAAAACAATGGTATAGACACAGGAGGAACCGTTCCCTTGCCTGACTTTCCGAAATTCGCCACGACCCCAGAGCTTCTCTGACTGTACTTCCCTCTGCCAAGAGAAGAAGCCCGCATGACGGTCACCAACCTGGGGTGTGAGGCCAGGGACACAACATCAGTCCTGCCCAGGCTTCTACTAGTTGGTGCTATATTCCCTGGACAGTGTCTAATGAATACCTATTATGTGCCAGAGACTGTGCTGGGTGCTGAGGGCACAAAAGCAAAGAGAAAACATAAGGACCTTCCTTGATTGTACAGGAGCTTCAGAGCCTCAGAAGACAAAGTGTTCTGAGCAGGGGGAAGGGTGAGCACAAAGATTCCGTGGCAGGCAGGGAAGCCAAGAAGACTAGAGCAGCGGGGAAGTCAGCCTCCAGAAGGGTGGGAGATGCCAAAGGCTGAGGTACAGACTTGGGCTGTTTTTCTAAGATCATCTGGAAACCACTGAAGAGTCTGAGGCTGTCCCATGGAAAGCAAATTGGGGGTGGGGACCAGAGTAGATGAGGCAGATTCTCCTGGGCAAGCAGTCTCACCTGTCTTTGGGGATTCAGGGGTATGATGACTGAAGCTTTCTCATGTGGTTGCAGGGCTACCTGGCACCAGGCCCTGAATGTTGGAATGTGATAGGCATTTTTCATTATCGACACAGGCCCTCCTGTTCCAGCATCAACAGGTGACAGCCTTCACCTGCAGGACTGGATCAATTCTCCTTCCAACCAAACCAAACCACACAAACCACCACCGCCCAAAACACACAGGAATCGCTTCTCATCCCTCAACTATTATAAACTGAAATGGAAAGATGGGTGCTCAACTTTCCGAATTTTCCTATCAGAATCCCAAAGGGCTCATTTTCAAGACTCCTTATTCCGCATGCATGCTCTAATTAGGCTTCTCAGACCCGAGCCCCGCATGCATTTTTCTATCCCCCTCCTTCTCCATCTCTTCCATAAAAATACTTGACCTGGCATTCCAGCCAATTACACCCACCCTCATCCTATTAGGCAACTCTTCCTCCTCTCTAATTACAGGAAAAGGGGGAGAATGCCCAGAAAAACGGCCCAGCTTCAAGAACTGAAAGAGAACACCAGCTGGGGGATGTGGGAGAAGGATCAGATTGGGGCCGCAATGCCTGACATTCCATCGCCGCTGTGAGGGCAGCAAGGGGTCACCACTGGCCTGATCAAGGATAAAGCCATCTTCCCTGAGGAAGGGCTCAGAGCTAATGCTGCCCCATCTGAACTTGTTACAGAGGTGGAGAGGCATAGCAGTCACCTCTTGGGGGTGTCCCTAGCCAAAAGTCCTACTATTTGAGAACTGTGTGCCCCCACCGATAGGAATGGTCTTGCCAAGTTCATGTTTATACTGCTTGATCCTACTCAAGAGTCATGGCTGATTGGGCAAAGAGGAATCGTCTCGTCCAAACTGGACCAATTAAATTATTTCCTCTGAATCTTACTGCCTCTTCCTAGCTGAGGGACCTCAGGCAAGCACACAAACTTACTAGGTTTCATTTTCCTCACTTCTAAAATGGGAATAACAACAATGCCTACGTCGCATGGTGATTGTCTGGATTATCTGATTAAGAAAACAACATACTTAAAGTCCTTGGCCCGTGCCTGGCACATAGCCAAGGACCAATAAGTGTTTGTTCAACTTCCTAGTATTGATTTAGAATTGGGATTCAGTGACACTAGGCAGCCACTGGATAGTCTCTTACTGGAAGCACATGAGCTATGAGGTGTTGCATTCGATCAGGTGCAAACCAAACACAGAACATAAACCTGCAGGGAGAAAAAGACCAAGTCCAGGAAAGATAGGACAAGATAAAGACAGACAAGGTAGCCAGATTCAAGTAGAGATTAGGAAGTAGGGAAAGGATGGTGGCTTCACGGCCTGAGACAGCCACATTCCTGGTTGTAATCCCTCATGAAGTCCACCTGCCCTGGGAGCTTCCCAGGGAGTTCCTTGTCCGACTTAAGCTAGGCCAAAGTGTATTCTTTGCCGTTAACTTGCAACTTGTGGCTCCCTGGCATCACTGGAGAGGGAAAAGGACATCTACTTCCTGAATGAAAGACTTGCTTCCTTTACTCCCCAGTGCAATCCTGGCACCAAGCACAGCACCAGGAACGAACAGGTGCTCAGTGAATGCACATCAAATGAACAAATGAATGAACAAATGAACATGGACCAACAAACTAAATAGTAATAAGTCAAGCTAAGGTTTTCTGGTCACTAGGTTCCTTTCCCCTCATCTCAGAATGGCAGTCTCTTCCCTCGCTCCCTCCCTTGGCCTTGGGGCAAGTCTCCAGTACAGCCTCACCTGCAGGATGAGCAACATCTGGACAATGGATGAGGGCAGCTTCGACTGGGCCAGCAGCAGCAGGTCACCCAGCTTCACCTTCAGCAGGACCAGGTCTCGGAAGCCCAGCAGGGAGATCTGGCGGATCGTCAGCTCCTGGCCCTAGAGCGGACAGAAGAGGGAGGGCTGGGAGGTGAGAGCTCACTGAATCTGCCACCAACCACGTGGGGTTTAAGACAGCACATGTTTAAGTAGCACCAAAGACGAGATGAGGCATCTGCAAGGGCTAGTGTGTCTTTCAAAGAGTTAAAGACCTGGCCCCTGTCCTCTAGAATCAAAATGTTGTTAAGATAAGGCATGACTCAACCTGCCTACCTAAATGACCCAAAGACAATACAAGGCATATATAATAGGGCACACTATTATCAGTGTTATGAGTGGCCAGGAAGGAGAGAGAAAGATGGGGAGAAACAAAGGAAAGATCAATGCTACCTCCTACATTCAAGGCTACATTTCCCAACTTCTTTTGTAATATATCTGAACACCTATCATACAAATAAAGAAGGAAAACATAGGACCTCTTGGACTGTTATATAAATACCAGTAATTTAGGAAGCAAAATAAATAGAAAAGGAAAAGGAAAAGGATTTGTCCAACTGTGGGGGTGGGGTAAGGAGCAGAAGGTGAAAATAATAACTATCTATAAGCTAACATTTATTAAATTCTATGTGCCAGGCATGAGTCTACATGTTTTAGATGTAAACAATACATGTAATCCCCACATCCCCACAAACACCCTTTGAGACAGGCACCATTATAAAACGTATTTCACAGATGAAACGCCCAAAAACCCAGAAAGTCACTATAATCCACCCAAAGTAGAGCTGGGTTTCAAACCCAAACGTCTTGATTTTAGAGCTCCTCAAGTTTCCCAAGATGAAAAGAGAAAGGAAGGTGCATTTTTCAGCCTCTCCTTTGCACACACACATGCAATGCACACTAAAAGTCGGTGGTTCTTGGTTGAGCCCAACCCGTTTCACAGATGAAACTCCCGAAAACCCAGGCAGTTACTATAATTCACCCAAAGCGGAGCTGGGTTTCCAACCCAAACTTCTTGATTTTAGAGCTCAAGTTTTTCAAAACAAAAGAGAAAAGAGGGTTCATTATTCAGACTCTCCCTTACACACAGTCATACAAATGCACACTAAAAGTTGGTTGTTCTTGGTAGAACCAAAGACCTCGTTAGGGTACCCTCCCAAGCCGACCAAGGTTTAAGGATGTTTTATACTTCATGCAACTCCGTAGGGTTTTATAGAAACATGGTCAAGAGTGGTTTTGCTATCTCTGTATCCCCGGACCCTTCACATCCAACAGATACACACAATCACCACCCGTACCTTTCAATAACATAAAAAATTATAAACACAGCTCACATTATGTTGCATGCTTTAAATACCTTATCATCTTATAATGAGGGACTCTGATTAGGTTTTATTCTTTCAGTATCTCTGAAAAGTTGGTCAGTTGGTACTACCTCTGTTGGATGGATTGATGGACAGAGACACTGAGGCACCGGGAGAGAGCCAGCATTAGGCCCCATTATTCTGGCCAGCCCCTGGGTCTTGGTCGTGTATGATGTTGGAAGCAGAGGGGATATAACCAACTTTCGTTCACAACCTTCCAGGGAAGTGAACAGAACTGTCTGATTTAAACTATAGAATGAGGGAAGAGAGAAGGAGGAAGACTGGGGCACTCAACCTTCTGGAAACTAGAACAGCAATTCTGGTGGGAAGGGAAGACTGCGAGGCAAAAGGAAACAATTTTAGGACCTCCTGCCAAATCACTTTCCAGAACTGATTTTCTAGGAATTCCCTGCAAGGTCACCAAGGCATCCCGAAGGAGTCTTTATTCCCAGAACTGCACTCCAAAAAGACAATTGTTTTGCCTTATTGTTTTTGGTTTTATATTTAAATCATAAAATATTTAAAGGCAAAGGTTACAACAGTTCAGAAAAAGGGTTTAAGGTAAGGTTACAAGTCCTCTTCCTCTAATTTCTTATTCTCCCTCCACACTGGTAACTGCTCCTTAAGGTTTTTATTTATCTTCTGAATTTCTCCAGAAAGTTCCTATATCCACAAAATCACATATAAAACCTTTAAACCCACACAGAGATTATGCCCCTCCTACTGTTCTGTAGCTTCCTTTTGTTTCACTTTGCATATTTTAGACATCTTTTCATACCAGCACATATTGACCAACCTCACTCTTCAAGACTGCATAATATTCCACCACAATATGAACACACTCTATGTAGCCACCTTCTCCTTACCAAGATGCTTTAATCTGAACACATGTGTGTGTGTTAAACATATTTATCCATGCCACGTTGGGCACTTTTATCAGCATATCCAGATTATTCTCTTGCAAAGGAAAATTGCTCAATCAAAATATGCCTTTAAAAAGTCTCACAGATACTGCCATGCTGCTCTCCAGAAAGACTGCATCTATTGTACTCCAAGCAACAGCAGGATGATTAGGAAAATACAGGCCATAACCCGACTTAGGCTGTGCCCACATTTCCATAACAGTGCCAGTATATGGTAGACACTCAACAGTCACCCATTGTCAACTCATCTGCTCAGCCCATGGCATGGGAAAAACAAGTCCAAATAGCTGGATTAGCTGCTGTGATTCCAACACATTTTGTTGGATAGCGAATAGTAATAATAATGATATTGATGACGATGGTGACGTTTCTTAAGCCTTTACTATATGTCATATGCAAAATTAAGTGCTTTTCATGTATTATCTCACTCATGCTTCTTAACACCCTTGTGAAGCACATTTTATTATTTTCTAGAAGAAAACCAAGGCTCACAGAGGCAAAGTTGTCTTCCCAAGAATATCAAGATGATAAGGGCAGACTGAGGATGTGAACCCAGGTCAGTAACATGGTTTGGATATTCGTCCCCTCCAAATCCCATGTTGAAATGTTTTCTCCAATGTTATAGGTGGGGCCTAGTAGGAGATGTTTGGGTCATGGGGGCAGATCCCCCATGAATGGCTTAGGTGTCCTCGCCTTGGTGATCAGTGAGTTCTCAATGAATTCACACAAGAGCTAATTGTTTAAAAGAGCCTGGCACCTCTTCCTCCATCTCTTGCTCCCTTCTCTCATCATGCGACCTACTGGCTCCCTATCACCTTCCAACATGGTTGTAAGTTTCCTGAAGCCTCACCAGGAGCAGATGCTGATATGTGTTTCTTACACAGCCTGCAGGACTCTGAGCCAAATAATAAATGTTTTTTTAAAATAAATTATCCAGTCTCAGGTATTCCTTTATAGCAATGCAGAATGAACTAATACACAAAATTGGTACCAAGGAGTAGAATGTTGCTATGAAGTTACCTGAAGATGTGAAAATAGCTCTAGAACTGGGTAATGAGCAGTGGTTGGAAGAGTTTAGAGGGCCCAGGGCCCAAAAGATGACAAAAAGACAAGGGAATGTTGGAACTTCTTAAAGACGAGTTAAATGATTATAACTAAAATGCTGATAGAAATAAGAACAGTAAAGGCCAGGCTGAGGTGGTCTCAGATGCAAATGAGGAAGTTATTAGGAACTGGAATAAAGGTCACCCTTGCTATGCCCTAGCAAAGAACTTGGCTGCATTGTGTCCATGCCCTGGGGATTTGTGGGAGGTTGAAGTTAAGAGTGATGACTTAGAGTATCTGGTAAAATAAATTTCTAGGCCAGTCATGGTGGCTCAGGCCTGTAATCCCAGCACTTTGGGAGGCTGAGGCGGGTGGATCACAAGGTCAGGAGTTCAAGACCAGCCTGGTTGATATGGTGAAATCCCATCTCTCCTGAAAATATAAAAATTAGCTGGGTATGGTGGCAGGTGCCTATAATCCCAGCTACTCGGGAGGCTAAGGCAGGAGTATCATTTGAACCTAGGAGGTGAAGGTTACAGTGAGCCGAGATCGTGCCACTGCACTTCAGCCTGGTAACAAAGTAAGACTCTATCTCAAACAAACAAACAAACAAACAAGGAAACATTTTCGAAGGAGCAAAGCATTCAAGATGTGGCATAGCTGCTTCTAACAGCCTAACATCAGGAATAGGTACAAAGGAATGACTTAAAGTTGGAACTTATAATTAAAAGGAAAACGGAACATAAAAATTTGAAAAATTTGCAACCTGGCCATGCAACAAGGAAGGAAAAGGCATTAGCAGGAGAGAAATACAAGTGAGCTGTGGAGCAATCACTTCCTAGAGAGATTTGCATGACTAAAAGGGAAACAGATGCCGATAGCCAAGACCACAGTTTTAAAAAGGCCTTGAAGTCATTTCAGAAACCTCTGGGACAGTCCCTCCCATTATAGGCCCAGAGACCTAAGAGGAAATAAGAGTTTTGGAGGCCAGTCTCAGGGGATGCCCAGTGCTACCTCAGGACACTGCTCCCCTCATCCCAGTTTCTCTGGCTCCAGCTGTGGCTCAAAGTGTCCCAGGTACCATTCTAGCTGCTACTCTGGAGGGAAAAAGTTATAACCCTTGGTGGCTTCCACACAGCGCTAAGTCTGCAGGTGCACAGAGTGCAAGAGAGAAGGAGGCTTTGCAACTTCTATGTAGATTTCAGAAGTTGTATGGAAAAGCCTGGGTACCCAAGCAGAAGCCTACCACAGGGGTGGAGCCCCCACAAAGAGACTCTACTAGGGCAGTGCCAGGGGGAAATGTGAGGTTGGAGCCCCTGACCCAGTCCCCAAAGGGCCACTTCCTAGTGGAGCGTAGGAAGGGGGTTGCTGCCCTCTAGACTCAAGAAGGGTAGAGCCACCAGCTTGTACCCTGAGCCTGGAAAAACCACAGGTACTCAACTCCAATCTGTGAGAGCAGCCCCAGAGGCTGCCCTTCAAAGCCACAGAGGCAGAACTGCCCAGGGCCTTGGGAGCCATCCTTTGCATCCAGTGTGCCCTGGATCTGGGGCACGGGGTCAAAGATTATTTTGGAGGTTTAAGATTTAATGTCTGCCCTGATGCGTTTCAGACTCAAGTGGGGCCTCCTGTCCCTTTCTTTTGGCCAAATTCTCCCTTTTGGAATGGGAATGTTTACCCAATGCCTGTGCCACCACTGTATCTTGGAAGTAAATAACTTGTTCTTGATTTTACAAGCTCAAGGAACTTGCCTTGAGTCTCAGATGAGATTTTGAACTTTTAATTAGCTGATGCTGGAATGAGCTAAGACTTTAGGGGACTACTGGGCAGAGATGATAATATTTTGCGATGTGAGAAGGACATGAGATTTGGAGTACCAGGAACAGAATAATGTGGCTTAGATATTTGTCCCCTCCAAACCTCATGTTGAAATTGTTGGAGGCGGGGCCTGGTAGGAGGCATTTGAGTCATGGGGGTAGATCCCTCAAGAATAGCTTGGTGTCCTCCCCTTGGTAATGAGTGAGCTCTCACTCTTTAGTGAGTTTTCACTCTATTAATGTTAGAGAGCTAATCATTTTTAAAAGTCTGGCACCTCCTCCACATCTTGTCGTGTGATACACCGGCTCTCCCATTGCCTTCTGCCATGAGTGAAAGCTTGCTGTGGCCTCACCCGGAGCAGATGTTGGCAACTACACTTCTTGTTCAGCCTGCAGAACCATAAGCCAAACAAGCCTCTTCTCTTTATAAATTACCCAGTCTCGGGTGTTCCTTTACAGCAACACAAACAGATGAACACAGTCATGAGCTCACTCTGCAGGTCATGCTATGAACCACTCTGTTCCTCTTTGCTGCTGCTCCCCCTCCCTCATTTCTTCCCCAGATTATTCTGTTGCCATTCCTTCTTCACATGAAATACCTGTAGTCATTTGGGTCTAGACTGGGCGTGGGTAGTTACAGCACTCACATGGAGAACATGACCGATTTTGCCTTTGGGGCTTCTAAGCCCACGGTTAAACATTACACACTCAGAAGAAAAGGCCTGGATTTATAAGTGACCAGCGGGGCATGTTGAATCAGTACATAGTGCCTTCTGTGTTTAAAGGCAGGTTGAACTGGGCTGAGGACAGCAACATGCCACCACCATTTATGTCAGAACTAGCTCCAATATCCCAGTCTCTCAATACCTAAATCCCTCCTCAGCATGGGCAGTGGAGGGGAGCTTTATCTTGAGAACTCCTTGCTGGTTCCCAACCCATAAAGGCCTTTTCTGTATGCAGAATCTGGCCTTTGATGCAGGCAGAAAATACTTTTGAGGGAGGGTGTGGGGTACCCGGTTTATACCAACCTGCCACATAAACAAGTTAATCATTGCTTTCTTAGAGGATCATTTGGGGCCATTAACCAGAGCACTGGCTTGTTACAAGTCCTTAGCCATCTCTTTGGCCCACAATGAATCAGAGAAGGAATTCATACTAATCCAGAACTGGCTTTTCTTGTTTTAGGGTTGGGGCGAGGGGGAAAGCCTAGTAAAACCAAGCCAGTCTCCTCACAACCTATGTCCCCCCCCAAAAACAGCAGAGCATATCCCTGTTACCCAAATGCCATCCAGTTTCTCTAGGCTAAGCACAGAGAAAAAGTAAAACCTAAGTGCATACAGTCCAACAAAACTATAAACATGTGGACTTGGATCAGCTGAGAACAAAAAGGAGGAAGGAGGCACAATTTGCCTCCTTGTGGGTATCCTGTATACCTTTCATGCCCATTTGCTACAGATATTCCCTACTTCCCTGGAATATTTCCTGTCCACAATCTGAACTGGGGCGGGTACATCTCACCCATACCCAACTCGGCTAATTGAATAAAGCAGGGTTAGCACATGGGAACGGCCTCAGGAGCTGGCAGGGAAAGAGAAGGCAGCAAGGTGGGGGCCACGGCAAACTGGAGAAGAGAAGCAAAATTCAAGTCAGCCACTGAGGAGTGAGGAGGTGAATGTGGGCAATATTAATTGCTGCCAGATCTTACCATCTTTCAAGAAGAGTAAAACAGAGATATCCTTAGACCCACATGTCTGGGCTCCTGCCTGGCTCTGAGCTTTAAAGACTAGCACCCTCCCCCCAACCCCAACCTTTGCCTTCTTGACTATACTGGAGCCATGTCCACCCAGATCCTGCATTCTCCATTCTAGAACCATCTGGACACCTGCACCCCAGAGTTCCCTACACCAATGGCTGGAAGAGAGACCCAGTGCCCCTCGAAATGGTGGTTCCAAGTTGCTGCCTTGGGTCTGGTTCAGTTTGCCTTTAAACACAGGAGGTGCCAGATACTGATTCAACGTGCCCCTTTGTTCACTTATGAATCCAGGCCTCTTCTGCACACGCCCTCTCTAGTAGGCTTGCCGGATAAAACACAGGATGCCCATTTGAAGGGTTTTTCAGTATAAATATGTCCCAAATATTGTATTATTTGTTTATATATGCAATTCAAATATAACTCAACATCCTGTATTTTTTATTCATTTATTTTGAGACAGGGTTTTGCTCTGTCACTGAGGTTGTAGAGCAGTGGTGCAATCTTGGCTCACTGCAGCTTCGATCTCCTGGGCTCAAGTGATCCTCCTACTTCAGCCTCCCTAGTACCTGAGACTACAGACACATGCCACCATGCCCAGCTAATTTTTTTTAATAGATGGGTTTTCATCATGTTGCCCAGCCTGGCCTCAAACTCCTGAGCTCAAGTGATCTACCCACCTCAGCCTCCCAAAGTGCTGGGTTACAGGTGTGAGCCACCGTCCCCAGCCAACATCCTGTATCTTTATTGCTTAACCTGGCAACCTTATCCCTGTGTCTAGCGTTCTGAGGGAGGACTCACTGCTGGCTGATGAGTGACTATTGCAAGGGAGGGAAAGGTTTCTGCAGGCTACAGGACAGAGCCTTCTATCTGTACTATCTTACCGGAAGTGTTATGGGGTAGACCTAACATGGGAAGTGGAATCTATAAGCATAACCTCCCAGGTTTTAAATATTTGACATATGTTTTAAACAATTCAAAATTTCTTTAAAACACTGTTCAGACCAAACAATCCACGTGGGCCTTGACCTCTGGCATAAGGTAATTCTACCCATTGCTAATGGCTGTGTTCCTCTGCATACCACAATTCAATACTACCTAATTATATACAAAGCCTCAATCCCAGTGGGAGGAGTAGAAGGGTGAGCACACTGCAGCTTAAGTGAGAGAGACATGTATTTTGGAGAGGAACATCTATAGGTCAACCTCCCTTTGGGATGGTGCTGACCTGGCAGTGATCATCATGGTGTCACATGATATTAGCTCTACAGAAAGGAGGGGCAAGGATATCAACACAAAGAGTAGGAGTGGAGGTCACAGAAGAAGAATACTAGAGATGTCATTCATATTTTACTCTAAATTCCTCGTTTTGCAGGAGATAAGATGGAGCTATGCTCACAGAAGATAAATGGCTCTGCCCAAACCCACACTCTGGAATCTAAGTCTATAGATTCCTAGTCCAGTGTTCTTCCTCCTAAATCACATGGCATCCCTTACAGAGGGCATGGAATGTTACTCCTTTTTCATGATTTGAGGGCAACAGAAAACTTGCTTTAAAATTATACTTTCAAAAAAAAAAAAAAAAGAAAGAAAGAAAAAGAAAAAAGAAAGAGGCAGGGGAGAGAAAAAAGAAACAAGAAATCACCCTCCCCCCATCTTCTCTACTTCTGCAAACTAAGAAAAACAAACCACTCCAAGAATATAAAGACATACTCAAAACCAAGAGGGTAACTAGAGCCTACAAATTGCTAGTTACGGAGGCACTCTTCTTCCCTTGAAGTTAGGTACTAAATATAGAACCGGAGAGCCCTTAAAAGATTTCTAAACTCCTTAACCAATGCAAGTGCCCAGTTTCCAAGTTTTCTCCCAGTCACCAGGAGCCCCCAGGCCGCAAAAGCCAAGAGAGAAGACAGATTGCTGAGGATGGCAGAAGAGTCCCCCAGTGAGACTGACCTGAACTGGATAAAATATTGCTTGCAGGGTAGGGAGAGTCTCAGTGAAGAAGTGGTCCCAGACTTCAGCCAGAACCTCAATGCGATTTTCACCTACAAGAGGGCGAGAAGATGGGAGGGGAGGGAGAAAGAAAAGAACTTATTACTTGTAGGAAAGCCCTGAAGACACTTCCACATAAAATGTAAAGTTGCACATGCTAAAACTTGCAGCCAGGAGATATTAAAGTCCAGAGAGCAGGTGTGATGCTACAGGATCTTTATTCCAGGCCAAGATCAACAGAAATTCTCAGAGCAGAAATATATTCAGTCTCACATGGATGCATGTATTGATCCTAACTCACTGGTCTTACTAATAAGCAACCTAAGCTTACTAATCTTCACTAGTAAGACTCTGAATGGGAGGTGCAGCATTAAGTGTGGGGAGGGAAGAGAGCGCATTGCTTACATTTGATCTACATTTGGTCTACAAGGTGTTACTATAGTAAATGTAGGACCAGGTGGGAAAACTCAACTGAAAATACGCAAATGTGCCTTTCCATCCTCCAATCCAGAAAAGGGAGCTGAGATCTTAAAATCATGTCGTAATTGTGATCACATCAATGGTTACAACATTATCCAGCACTATGCTAGTTTACTTATCCATAAGATATCTCAAGACTAGAATGTAATACCCCCGCTTTACAGGCTCAGAGAGGCCAACTAACTGCCCCAAAGACACACAGCTCAAAGGCATAGCTGAGATTCCAGAAACCATGCTCTTGACCAACCTAATCCAGGAAGATCGTGTGCACAGTTATATAATGTTTTGTTTTCTTACTCATTAAGACACTGGCTTTATTCTGGGTTTCAGCTGTCAGTGGAGAGAGGCAGAAAGAGGACCTGGAAACTGTTCCCTCCACCCACTTCTTTTACAGTAACTGGAAGGGCAGCTTCTCTGAAAAGGCCATCTGCAAAACACAGCCCCTGCCTCCTGCTCCTGTCCCTACTCACCCCTAGGATCAGGAAGCCTAAGCTATGGCCAAGTGTCCCTGCTAGCCCAGGCTGGAGCGCACAGGTCACCTGATGCCATCGGAAGGCGGTGCGAGGAACTCTGCACCTCCAGGAAAGACCGGCCCGGGCAGAGAGAAGCCTGCATGGCGGTTGCTGTTTAATGACCTAGATATCAGAGCTGATATTGGTCACTGCCTCTGCTCATCCCAGGCAGAGAAAGTGGGTCAGCCAAGATTAGACACTGAGAGAAGCATTTGGCAAGACACTGCCAGTTCCACTGAATAAATCTTGAAAGATTCATTTGGCGCCTCCTGTCTATTAATTTAATGGGCAATAAAAACAGTGGTTTGGGAGAGAGAATAGAACAAGGGCATGACTAGAAGCCAGCAGGTCCAAAGACATGCAGATTTTGAAAGGTCAGGGCGAAATACACAGGGGGAAAATGCAAATCCAGGGCACCCTCAACTTTCCTGTGCAAAGCACTGATCACACTTTACTGGAACGGCTTATTCACTTCTTCTCTGTCTCGACGCTGGAGTGGGAGTGGGAATGGGGCCCCATCTGTCTTGCTCATCACTATATTGCTAGTGCTTAGTGTGGTGCCAGACACATCAATAAATCAATCTTTTAAAATCTTTGCATGAATGGATGGAAAGTGCCAAGCATACAGGTTTTTGTAGATGCTGGAGCTGGTGAGTGAAGGGAGGTTCAAATGTAACCCAAATATGGGACAGTGTAGAACAGGACTTAATAGTTAGCATGAACATTTTCCTTTGCTCCTAGGATAAAGAAAACCTCAACAACACGTTCTACACAGCCCAGGAGAATCCGCCTCCTCCTCCTGGGCCTTGATCCTCTTCTGTATTCCTGTCGGCCTTTGGACTGTAATTGACCTTCTTGCAGTCACCCTGCTCTCTCGTGCCACAGGGCCTTTGCACATGCTAGCCCTTTTGCCTTGACTGCTCTTTCTTTCCCTTCTTTGCCTAACCTACTTCTGTTTATCTTTCTAGTTGCACCTAGCAAAGTACTGTCTCATGGTAGGTAATCAAATAAACATTTGATGGAAGCAATCGTCACGCTCTTTCAACTGTAGGCTATGCTATTTTACTGCAGGGAGAGGAAGGGGAAGTCCAAAAGGACCGTCTCACATGTTAAGTCATCCTGGTTCCCAAAACCAAGGTGAACTCCAGCACCTGGATAATGTACCCCAAAGGGCAAAAAGTTACTCCAGCTTCTTTGTTGATGTCCTTTATCTTAAACCTTCCACAACCAAGACAAGCAGAAGCCGTTTTGATCTGAAGGAGGGGAAGGAGAGAGAATCTTGCAGGTCAGCACTGGTACCTACTTACTCCCCCTTTCAATGCCAATACAGGAAGCTCATTGGCACACGAGGTAACCCTGCAACCCAGCAGCAGTAAGACGCCTCCTGAGAACCCAGGTCTAATTGCTGGCTGCAAACTTCAGAGAGTAATGGCGGTTTTGGAAAGTGTTCAGAGAAGAACATCAGACAGACACAGACACAGAAACAGGGTAGCCCTGGGGGAGAAAGAGGTAAAGAACACAGCTGCCTTCCCATCCAGAAACACCCCGTAAGTCAAGGACTTAGCTCCCTGAAAAAATAAAGGGGGTTGGATGGACGGTTCTAGATGACTGTCTTATAAATCTGCCCTCTGATGTATCACATCAGTTTAGGTCACCAGGAGTGTATAGATAAGTATAAGAAACTTCCTAAGAGTCAAGGTCACTAAGGCCCTAGAAAGGTTACTGAAGTTAACATGGTGTCTTCTGCCCACAAAAGAGCAACATGTGGATATGAACGGCCACCTGCCTTTTCTGCAGCAGTCAACGAGGGGTGTGTCTACATAGACATGTGAGTACCTAAGCAGAGATGTCAACAAAGAGGAGTCTGTTCAGTGACTGGACAGATCATATTAATTGTTTTCCAACTTTATTTGATAGCAAGAGAATTCTTTTATCCGAACAAAATTTTTCTTGGAGTTTGAACACAGAAAATTAAAAAGTAGAGATGCCTGGTTGAAGATAGCAAAGTCCCTTACAGGTTGCCCCACCCCCATGCCCATTCACTGTACAGAAAAGGCCCCAACACCCAGAACTCTAGGGCTAGAAGAAACTCAGAGAATACCCCGGGCCTGGTGTCCTCAGGCCACGCCAGGGCAGGGGCACAGAATCTTTGATGAACTTTGTTCATCCTGTCTAGCTCATTTCTGAGTTTTCACTCTGAGTCTATCTATGATGAGGGTTACTTGGTAAGAGACATTCAACTTCCCCTTTTAAGGGCACTTGAACCTCTGGTTTTATTTGGTATCCTTTTCACAGAGCTGTTTTTCCACGTTTCCAGGAGCTTGTAATAACTCCCTGGATAACATACATACAATTAATGTGGCCAGGGACAATGTTTCTTTTCCCTCCCTTTACCAGGCAGTTGTCGTCCACATTTTTGTACTAGCCTGACTCCAAAATACAAAAGAGGGCTGGGCGCAGTGGCTCACGCCTGTAATCCCAGTGCTTTGGGAGGCCAAGATGGGTGGATCACTTGAGGTCAGGAGGCGAGACCAGCCTGGCCAACATGGTGAAACCTCTACTAAAAATACAAAAATTAGCCAGGCGTGGTGCCACGTGTCTATGATCCCAGCTACTCAAGAGGCTGAGCCATGGGAATCGCTTGAACCCGGGAGGCAGAGGTTGCAGTGAGCCAAGATCGCTCCACTGTACTCCAGACTGGGCCACAGAAGTGAAACTCTGTCTCACAAAAAAGCAAAAGAGCCACTAAATTCCTGGTCAAAGCAAGTCACCTAAAAATAAACCCCTTCCTTTGACACATGAGAGGATAAAGCAAATGTAGCAAACACATATAATGGAATATTCACCTTAAAATAAGAAGGGAATCCTGTCACGTGCTACAACATGAATTTGAGGACCTTATGCCGAATGAAACTAGGCAGTCGCAAAAGGAAAAATACTGTATGATTCCACTTGTAAGATGCCTAGAATAGTCAAAAGCATGGATACAAAAAGTAGGATAGTGGTTGTCAGGGGCTGAAGAAAGGGGCCAATGGGGAGTTGTTGAATGGACATGGAGTCTCCATTTTGCAATATAAAGTTCTAGAGGTGTTACGCAGCAATGTGAATATAATTAACAGGACTCCACTGCAAATGTGCTGAAACTGTAAAGAGGATACATTTATGTCGTGTGGGTTTTTTTTAAAACCCACAGTTAAAAAATTTTTTTCTAAAGGCCTTGGGTTACTGGGTACTTATAAGGTTGAAAAAAAATCGCAGCATAGATGTATTCAAGGGAAGAATGGCTACAGGTTCAGCCAACTCTCAAATGTGCAGAGGTTAATTTCTAACCTCTATTCTTTCCAAGGCTTGGTAAGCGTTGACTGTGTGCCAGAGGTTGGAGCTTTCCAGCATCAGTTTCTCATTTTCCTTCCTGCTTTGTCTTTCTAGGAGCCCCTTCCCTGGACACACTAGTGTCTTTCCCAGGGAGTGGGATGAAACACGATGATGATGACATGACGCACCTAGTAAGTCTGGATCTGGAAGTCAGTTTGATCTATGGGTCATTAGGCTGGAGCAGAAAAAACAGAAAGGGTTTGGTATATATGCCTGCTGTGTGCGTTCCGTCACTCATGTGCCTTACCTTCCCTGCAGTCCCTCACCCCAATTTATCACTTCAAATATGACAAAAGCTGAGACTGGGAGGAGCTAATAACTAACCAAAAGTCATCCAAGAAGCAGGTGGCAAGCTAAGACCAAGCCCTACTTTGTGGGAGCTAAGAGTAGCCCTTGGTAGAGCCATGGGTTTGCCCAATTCTTGCCTTTGGAATCTGTTTCCATCTTTATTCTGTTACTTTCTATCCTGTCAGTTGGACTTTAAAATCTAAGATCAGGAAATTTCCCTTCGTCTATCAAATCATACCCTTTTGAGTGAGTACCTGCTTAGCCTAATGTCCCCACGAATGGACAGGACTCCTCTCTTCTGTGACTCCCCAGAAATATTACAAAGACCTGTAGGAAATAGCTTAACTTGTACCTTCAAAGGAGACAACCACCCTACATACCATTAAAAAAAAACACCTTAAGGCCAGGAGCAGTGGCTCACACCAGTGATCCCAGCACTTTGGGAGGCCAAGGCAGGCGAAGCACCTTAGGTCAGGAGTTCAAGACCAGCCTGACCTATACGGAGAAATCCCGTCTCTACTAAAAATACAAAAATTAGCCAGGTGTGGTGGCACACGCCTATAATCCCGGCTACTTGGGAGGCTGAGGCAGGAGAATCTATTGAACCCAGGACGTTGTGGTGAGCTGAGGATGCACTACTGCACTCCAGCCTGGGCAACAGAGCGAGACTCTGTCTCAAAACAAACAAACAAACAAAACAAAACAAAAAACCCTTAATGAGGTCTGCAAAGAAACCACCCCATCCCACTACATTTTTTGGAAACACAGTTCTGACTTGCACTGCTGTGAGCAGCTGACTGAAATGAAAGTGCTGCTGCCTAGGTGGGGAGGAAACGGACAGAGTGAATCACTCACTTGGAGCCTGCCGTTTCTGGACAGAACCATCTCAGCTGTCCCGACATCAAAGGCTGAGTCACAGGGGCCCTAATCTACCAGGGCTGTCTTGTACTTGCCTTCACACAGCTTGATCTTCTCCTCCACAAAGAACAGTCCTTTTGCAAGAAGCTGGTTCTGCCAAAAGAGAAGAAAGAACATAAGAGTTTGGGCAACTCCAGAGCGTGAGTGAGGAACCCTCTTCCACTTCCAGTGGGCAAGGGCACAAAGCTCTGGGCACTTCTGTTCTAGCGTCTGAGTTTAAGCGTTTTGTCCTCTTGGAATGCCAAGCCTTCAGGAGAAGACAGTGAGACTTCCCACGGCAAAAGAGCAAGTGAGGTAAGAGGCAAACCGAACCGCCAACCTCATCCCTCAGACCAGGGAAGAGGCATGACACAAGCTTGGATGAATTCGGCATTGTTGACACCCAGTGTCCTAGAGGCCCTTAGTGATCTAAATTCACAAAAGGGAGCACTGAGGCAATGGGACACTATGCAGAAATAACATATTTTTTTTTTTAAAAAAAGAGATAAATTTAGTTTCTCACACTAGCATGAAAGAGACTGCATGCAAAATCTTAAGCAGCAGTGAATATGCATCTGTCAATGAATGTGTGCATGGGAAATTGTGTAAAGAGAAAGTAAAGTCCTTTTGCAACTGCAACTAACAATCGTTGGGTTTGCTGTCTATATCATATGCTTTATATCCTTCATCTCGTTTAATTCAATCCTATCAAGTTGGTGCTACTGTCCTCACTTTACTGATGGTCAGTGAAGAGACTTGCCCAAGGGAGACAGACCTGGTCTTCCTGGCTCTATAAGCCACGTTCTTTCTACTCTGCTTTGCTGCCTTCCAGCGAGTCTTCCTACCCAGACCCCTTCCTTCCCTTGAAAGGCTATAGCTGGTCCCCTAAGACATGTAGCAGCCTCTCCGTGAGTCACAATAGCTCAGAGATCAGTGACAGGCTGGTGTCTCTACACTCATATCACATTATTAGATTACTAAGGCCTATGCTTATGGGAGAGGCAGGGGCAAAAGTGATATGTATCTTACCAAAGGATCTAATGCATTCTTTAGCCTTCTCCTTTGTAAAACCCTACGACCCTATTACAATGACAAAAGAAGCATATGGAGCAGAGTGGAAAGAACTTGGGTATCAGTTCAAGTTCCAGCTCAGCTACATCCTAGCTGTGTGATTTTGTATTTAATTTCCCCGAGTCTCAAGCTCCTCATCTGTAAAATGGCATGATACTAGAAGTACCACAACATTCTTCATTATAATCATTACAAACACATGAATCATTATAAACACATACACACAGCATTTTATGTCCGTAGTAGTCAGCACTGGTGGTAGCAATAGTAATAGCTGCTATCTCAGCCCAACTTCTTCACAAAAGCAGTGGGAGGCCAAAAGTCAGTAGTGAATAGGCCTTTATAAAATGTACTAATAGAATATTTTATCAAAGGTCCTATCCCCTTTTTGTGATGGGTGCACATATACCAAATCCATAATCCTATTAAGATTTACAAAATAAGACCTAATTTGAAAAAGTAATTGGCCATCATGTAGTTCTTTTTTGGGACAGAGTCTTCATTTGTCACCCAGGCTGGAGAGCAGTAATGGGATCTTGGCTCACTACAACCTCCGCCTCTCCCAGGTTCACGCAATTCTCCCACCTTAGCCTGCCAAGTAGATGGGATTTCAGGTGCCCACCACCACTCCTGGCTAATTTTTGTACTTTTTTAGTAGAGACAGGATTTTACCATGTTGGCTGGGCTGGTCTCGAACTTATGGCCTCAAGTGATCCGTCAGCCTTGGTCTCCCAAAGTGCTGGGATTACAGGCGTAAGCCACTGCACCCGGCCACCATGTAGTTTCAAGATGACAGATAGAACCCCAAATCAAAGTTACAGTGACACCATATAGGAATACACCAACTTTGTTAAAGAAAAAAAAAAAAGCAATTCCTCACAAAGGATTATGAAACACACAGGCAGTAAAGGCAAGGCCCTAACCTGTTCTTCAGCTTCCAGCCAAGTGCGTGAATCCCGGCGGCTGGGTCATGGCAAGACTTTCTGGGTCAGAAAGCAAGAAAATACCCCAGCACCAAATCAACATCTTGTGACAGCTGAGCTGGACATGAGTGGTCTGTGGAGGTGTGTTCAGATGGCAGCCACTCCACCTGAATGCTTCTGAGCACAAATCTCAACGGTGCCCGGCAGTCTATGCTGGTCATTCCCTTTCACCTAGCCCAGGTGAGGTTCTCATATCGTCCCGTTAGCGTTCTATGCACGGGCTCCTGAATGCCATTCTTCTCAGTACCTCTAGTGTCAACACTGATGTTCCAGGCTTCTACTAAAACAACTTCCCTAACTCTCCCTAATTTCACATTTCTGAGGTGCACCTATAGAGGTAATAGAGATCGCCTCTGTGATGCAATTTTCACCATTTTGTTCTAGTGCTATAATTATCTACATGGGAGGAGGTTAGGGGGAACTGAGGCATTGACGGAAATAAAACCTAGTCCAGGTGATAGCATGAGTTAACAAAAATTAATTCAAACCATTCATTAGTTAGAATTGTAGGTAATTAGGAGTGCGGGTCATGTCTTATTTAAGTTAGCACCCTTGGCTCCTGGTATTGTACCTAGAACATAGCAGATACCTAATATATGCTGACTATTTTAGTGATAAAGATCATTTTTTATTTTTAAGAAGCCAAGATAAAAGACAGAATATTTTTAAGAGGAATAAGGGCTATAGGGTCTCTAAGTTTGTTGCCATTTTCTTCATTTGAATTAGAAAATCATTTGAAAATTACATTGTCCCTATCCTTAAGGAATAAACCTCAAAACATGGCCTGGATTTTCCTTTCTTCCCCTTTCTAGGTCTTCTCCCTTCAAGGAGACATTAGAAAAACAATCTTTTATATATATTTTCAAGGAAAAGTAGTTATTCCTATATTATGGGGAAATGATATAGAAAATATTCTTTTAAAACTTCTCACAGTACACGGCATGGAAATTCTATAGCTTAGATCAAAATAAGAGAAACACAAACTTGAGGTTAGAAGGGGCCTTAAGAATCACCTAGATATTCTCTCCTCTCCCTGGTCCTATGGTCAAAATCTATTGGTCACATACATTTTGATGATATTTAGTGGATCAATTTCCATTTTCCAGCAGGCTAAGGCATCTTGGAAATCCTTATATCACCCCCTGCCCCCAGGAAACTCTTAATTTTGCTCTTATCTTATAGTTGTATAAACTGAAGCTATAAGTGGGGCCTCCCTCTCCAAAATTCCAGTAAAAGACATGAGAGTGAGGCTCAGTCTCTCCACTACTCACCTTTTATTCAGCACACACTATTAGAGTAAGGATCCCTTGGATTAGCCAAGCCCAGGCCCCTCTTCACTGGGGAACCACCACCATCCACCCAATGGAGCTGTGCCCATTCATTCATGCCCCATTCACGCTGCACCTTCCAGCTTTGCTGATGGGTCTCAAACTGAGCCCCAAGTCTCCTCTATGGGAATTTGGGCCCCAAAGGGTCTTGCATTCTTAAGGGCCTAATACTCTGAAAGCCCTCACTTGCGATTGGGTTCTCCGCAGTTGCCATCTTTGACTCTCAGTATTTTTATCTTTGAATTTGTGTTTCATAAGTGAAGTGTGAAGGGATAACAGAACATACACTGGGGTCTGACGCCTCAGCTCACACATAGTCCTGCCGCCTCACCATCTCCTCAAGAGGGATTTTCAGGCACCTACACCTCACCCTAGCGCCTGGGCTCCACCACCAACGTCACCCTACTCCCAAGGTGCTGACAGGGTCACGTGGGTGGGCGCCTCTGCACCAGTACAGGGAGAGTCAGGGCCGGGCATGCACCCTGCAGCATCTTGGGGAGAGGCGTAGTGCCAGCCCTCCTGCACTCCCTGGACTGCCAGTGCTGTAGTGCAGTTGCTGCTGACTCAGTGGAGACCTCTTACTCACCATCCATCTAGATACCAAGAGTGATCAGTGCAGACATGCAATCTCTTAGGGTTACCTGCCTACTATGAGCTGCGGTGGCAGGCCTATGGGAAGGGGAGATTGGCATCCCCATGCCAGTCTGGTTAGTAGAGTGATTTTAGAAGAAGCCAGTGACACCAGTGTTGACATTAGTGGTGAGAAGAATGGCATTCAGGAGTCCTTGCACAGAATTCTGAGTAGACACATTTCTTCTGCACTGGGCTCTGCAAATTATGAAGCTCACCCTGTCACTTCACCTAAGAATATGCCAACATGACATCTGTGGAGCTTAAGCCTGCTCAAATGGGTTGAAGGTGGGGCAAAACCCAGCCTTAACTCAGGTGGCCATCTTGCATTGTTTGTCCTTCCTAAGTGTCCAGTCTTCCTGGACCTCACCTCACAGTATTCCCATACCCTGATGAATCCCTGACTCCAGAAGCTTCTGAGCATTTGCTAGCTGCTGAGCTGGAGTGATGGAGCTGTATGGTAACAGGGCTGGAGAAGACCCAAGTTTCTCTTGTCCCACTCCTTGCCTGATGGCACCAACCCACCACCTCCCCAGGTGGAACACTAAGCCAAAAGTAGTTACTAAAGAGTAGCCACCCAGGAAGTGACTTGGGACTTGGAACTGGGCCCATTGTTACTTAATGCATCCTCTCCTTACCCCCTAAATGAACTTGGACACAGTCAAAGTCACACTATAATGAAGTGACAGAGGAGACGGAAGTGAAAAACAGCTGACATATCTATTTTTCCTAAGACATAGAAAAACAGGCTACAAACAGAAAAATGAGGCTTAGCTAGGGAAAATGTAAACAAGATGTTTGGGGAAAGCCAAATCTTCAGTGGACGCCAAAGACCCAGCTTCTCCTGGGTCATCGCAGAGGGCAGGTTCTGGAGTGGGTGGGCAGAACAGAGCAGAGGGTGGCTGTGGGTGGTGTGGGGCTACCAATGATGCACGCCTCCTGCCAAGCAGGTACCTTCCCAACCCGGTGGGAGGGACCCAGATGAGATGGGTAACCAAGAGGGCTGGGTACAGGGAGAACTCCATCTTCCCAGCAGGAAGAACTTTCCATACAGACCAGGAAGCAGGAAATCTGTAAATGCTAAGGCTGCTAACTACCATCA